GGCCGGGTCGGACAGCAGCGCCATGGCGTCGGAGCCCGGCCTGGTGTCGTCCAACACGCCCGGCGCCGCCTCCACCGCCTCGGGCCTGGCCTGAAAAGGCGGCGGCCACGGCGGCGGCAGGCGACGGCAGGTGTTTCCCAGCACGAGCCAAGCAGAGCGCAGCACCACAGGCTAAGAGCAAGCAGGGGGAGACGTGGGGGTGGAGGGGGAGGAGGAGGTGGTGAAACAACCAGCTGTCCTGTTATAAATACTAATTTCTACTACTATTACTCATCTACTATTACTATTACTACTACTAGTTCTGCTACCACAACACACAACCAGAGAAAAAAGGTGAAAAGGAAAGAAAAACTGTTCGATGCATGTTCTGAGGAGGGAAGATTCACGCAGGGGTGTCGGAATAATGTACGAGGCAGGGTGACTTCACCCGAAGCGACGGAGGAAAAAGAGGTTTGCTTTTGGAAGAACCCCGCAGTTTCAAAAAATGCTGCTGTGCAACTTAATTTCCCTCCTCCCCCTCTCTTCTTTGTGCGTGAGATTGCTGTACACCCATGAATTGGAGCAAGTGAAGAATAATCGCTTTTTGCAGCAACTGGTTGACCACTATCTTCCTGCCTTTCGGTTTGTGCACCCCTGCTGGTCACCCTCCCTCCCCTTCCCCTCCCTGCTTCACCCCTCCCCTCCCCTCTCCACCCCTCACCAGTTTGGCCTGCCCTCGCAGATCTGTTTGCCACTGAGCCCTGCTGCAGTTTTGCAATCCCCTCATCTCCCAGCCCACATGTGCGGAGGTAATTGCATTTTGCAATGCTTGGGCTCTGTGACAGACTGGGCTGGGAGCGGTCACTGTTGCCTATAACTTGCACGTGCTTTTCCTCCCGCATCCACTGTCCAACATGTACAGATAGCGGCTATCTAAGTGAATATACAAATGATACACAGTTGTTTGGGTCTCAGTATTCTTGTGACTAAGTTTCTCATGTTTTCTTGGTTTTGATGGCCAAGTATATAACTGAAAGCAACAGAATATATAATATATATTGCATAAATGTTTTGTATATATTATATATATAGATGAGAAGGGAATTTACTTAGGACTTTAAAGTCAGGACAATTTATACATACATAAAAATATATTCATATAATAGAAGATTCCCTTCTTGTGCTTCATGTTTATAAAAAGAAGAGAGTGGGAGAGAAGAGTGAAGAAAAGAGGGACAGCAGAAAGAAGATAACTTCTTTTTCCTTTCCAAAGCTGCAATTTATTTGTTATCAATTTGCAGTTGAAAGCTGTGAGCTTGTGGGCGATTTTGTTCTTTGATATGACATCTGTGCCTGCTATAGATCCAGGTTACAGATACAGTCTTGTATCAGCTGTCTTAGCCTCAATCCAATCACTTGCGCACCCTATTGCTGTTTTCTCCTACTCAAGTTCTCTTTTAACTTCTGGTCTGTGTTTTAAGTTGATTTGTTTCGTCTGTAATCTCCGTAACTTCTATGTGTTTTGTAGTCCATATTCAGGCCTGTGAGTATATTTTTCCTTTTGGTTTTATTAGCAAAGTGTTCTGTGGAATGGCCGTTATTTAATTCGCTAATGGGAAGTTGTCGTCAGATGAAAACTTGTATGAATATTCTTAATGTAATGAAATAGGAATTATTTGTGAAAAAGTGAGATATTCCACTTTTGTAATGATGGGGGGATTGTTAATGTTTGGGGGTATGAATATTAAATATTTGGAATAAATAGCCATTTAATATTGTGCAATTAAATTAATTTAACCGAAGACTCTTGCTGTATTTTTAATTTACACCTTATCTGTTTATTAAATGTGTTCAGTGTTGATGTGTAAGCTTCAAAATGGCTCAGGAAACTTCATGTGGGCAGTTGCTGGAAGAAGCCAAAGTAAATGGGTTGTGATCGAGGGGTTTGAGAACGATTGCTACCCATGTAAAAATGTTATAAATTTTCTCCATTGTTTCAAATTAATCTTTGCCTGTGTTCATACATGTGCTCTGACACTTGCTAAATTCCAATTGAAAATTTATTTTAATTAAATGTCAATTTTCGTTCTCTTAAATTGTCATGAATTGTCATTTTACATTACAGATTAATGCTCAACGCACATAAAAACAAAATAATTTTGTTATTTTTTGTGGGGAATGTCTTGTATCTTTGGCTGTTGTCATAAGATTTGGCTTGTGTCAGTTCTGCTGATCAGCATGGGGGCATACATTGTGTGATAGCATAGGCTGGAATATATTGCTTCCCACCGCTACCCCTGTTGTTCTTACTCTTTGGTGCCATTCAAATTTTTTTCCCCTCCCACATGCGCTGTTGATTTTTTTAATGTAATTTCCATGCTGCTACATTTCTTAATGCTCATTGAGCTGCTGTGTAGGGCAAAGTAGTCTTGACCTTGGATGTGATATGCTGTACATCTGTTGAATGGTGTTAATGTATATATATATATGAAGCTGAGCTAAGGAACCATGCAATAGAAATAAACACAGAGAACCCTTCGAGGTGGATGAAGCTGTCCTGCTTGTTTTGTTCCCTCGATTGTAGAGACTGCAAGTGTTAACAGCTAACGTATTTAATTGATGAACTTTATCAGTGCAGCCAATCTTGCTTTCCTTTCGGTGAGGAGGGGAAAGCAAGAGAGAGCTACAATTGTTTCTTTTTGTGCAAATAGTTGATGATTTGAGATAATTAAGATATATTAAAAGTCTTAGCCTCCAATTATTACTGCAGACTTAGATATTGTGAAGTGGTGATTCTCACCATAATTTCAAATGCTTGTGTAGATAACTAAGGACTTTTTCTTTGTTCTCCATTGTATAAAAAGTACACTACTGTAATGTAATAAGCTAGAATTTGAAATGGATACAAAAGATTTGAAACTGAAAAGATTATTGGTGCAGAGAAATGTGAATGCATTGTTTTTATTATTGGTAATTTTATAATTTTTCAAACTTTTAAAAACAAAGAAACTGTCATACTTTACTATGTTTTTAGGTCCAGAATTATTTTTTTTAAAGGGGGCTTTTTACAGTATTTAATTATTCTCTTTGAAAACTAATGTTTGTTGTGGTTATTGCCTCCTGTAAACAAGTGTGTATAAGATAATTTTTTTACTTCATCAGATGGAGATTACGGGGGAAAATCAAAATTTTTTATATAGTTCATTATGTGTGACAAGTGTTAAGTTTTGTGGCACTGAGAAAAGGTTGTATCGTGATGGTTCCAAGTTTCAACCTTTCACTTTGGATGAGAAGACTGCAAATAAGTTTCTTAGAGGGCAGACTGTGCTGTTTGTGAGGACCATAAGGTGCTCCGTTAAAAAAAATTTGAATTATTCAGCTCTGTTTCTACCCTTGTCCATTTTTTGTGGAGCTTACATAGAAATGTAATGCACTTTTAGACAATGTTCTTTTGCAGTTTTTTCATATAAACAGTGCATGTTGATGTGTCAGTCACTGTGTCCAGTCCATTTCATCCAGTTGAGGTACTGGTTTCATCTAATATCGTTTTTCTCTTGTCAGTCATAAAAGTGCTTCTCATATCCTGGTGTGCATTTTCTGGTGCATGCAGGATGGAGTCCAGAAAATGTGAAAAATATACAACTACCTTATAAACGGTCATACTTGAATCAGAAATTTATTATAAATAAGTTTAGTTTATGTTAAATAATGAAAGCTGTATTGTAATTATTATGTGAAGTAATAAATTTCTGCTTATAGTTTGACCAGACTTGTTTGTTTAGCAATGAAACATTATTTACTACCATTTACCCAACTAGTAGAAGATGATTTCCTTGTGCCGAGGCGGGTAATTATCAATGGCTTTTGTTTGACATCTTGATCTGGTTTAATCCAGGATTGACGACAATCTGTTTTTAAAAGGCTGTGATTGTTAAAAAAATCTAGTTTCATGATTTATAATTTCTTTTTTCTTAATGTGAAGTTGCCTGTATATTCTATTTAGTTGATTACATAATCCACCTAGTGTTAATGATAAGGATGCTAATTCTCTTACAGGAGAGACTCTTCTGTATATACTATTTGCTTAAAGGTGGTCCATCCATTTTCAGATTAAAATAGTTGTGTAGAACAAAATTAGCTGAGTAGCCCTACAGAATTATTGTCATTGCTCAAGATAAATCAGTGATTAGCAACTCCACGAATAGATATTCCCGAATTATAGAATTTTTGTACCAACATTGGTACATGAACCACTGGTCAGTGGCTGAAACTTCGCTGTTGTACAACTCGTTGAAGTGCAGTTAGAGAAGTCTTGAGTGTCTCTAAATCCTACCAAAAATGTATTTGTAGGGTTTTTATTGCTATTGAAAAGTTAGGAACTGGAAATCACGGTACAACCTTTACCTTAGTATTTTATATAATCTCGTTTTATCATTGACACTTACAGGATTTAATTTTAAGTAAATATGGATTCAGAAATGCTCACTTGAAATTCTGAAAGTGCGTTTCTGTGAAGTCTGGTTGCCAAACAAGCTATTCTCTTGTTACAGCAGTAATTTAGAAGACACTTCATTAGAATGCTTTTTTTTCTTTTTAATGTTTTTTAGACGGTTGTGAAATGTTTGAAAAAATTTGTAGTATTGTATGATATTTGTTTTAGGATCTTCATGACATTGATCTTCCTCTTGGCAGCCAACCAAAAGTTTCTAACAAATTGCATTAGTTCACGAGATAATTAATTTTATTTTTTCATTGAAAAAATGAAACAGGAAATAGTTTCACCAGTTCACCTGAAGTCTGCAACCATCCTAACAATGTGATGTGTTACGGAAACCATGAAGATACTGATTGAAAAAAAGGCAAAGACCTGATATTTTCATCATTTTCTTCTATAAACTGGTTGCTACCAATGTGCAAGAGACTTGCCTAAATGCTGTTAATGCAGAAGTTATTCATCTTCGGAATTTCCCTTTTTATTTATTAATTTTTTCCTAGGAAATGAGAAGTTGAATTTTCATTAGCTATATATGGACAAAAGACTTAAAGTGATCACTGTGTTTTCATTTATCAAAATTGTTATTTCACTGTGCAATCTGTTTAATGTATTTTATCACTTTACAACCTTTCAAGAACAATGATTCATTTGTACTGCATGTTTACCAAACGTGTTGACTTCCTAAGTGTCTCCCAGCTTGTTTCTCTCATGGAACTTGTGGCTTTTTTGCTAGACATGTGCAGTTCTTTTAGGAAGTTTCTATAACAGTGCAGTAAGTTACTCAGTCTTTGGAACAAAACTTTTACCAAATTAGTGTCATTGTGGGTAAAATCTGTGTCATAGGTAAACATTGAAGAGATTGTACTGTATCACTGTATAGAGTAGTGTCTTAAGGATGCTAAGCATTATGGTGGACCTGTAAAAAGAAATAGAAAACATAGTTTGTGAACATTGTTTAAAAAATATACCACCTTATCCTTTCTTCCATGATAAACCAGGCAGTGGAAAGATAGAAAGCCGTCTGACCTCAAACCCCCGGTACTCTCTCAGGATCATTATTAAGTATTGCCTTCTCATTACAATAAACTAACATACTTGTATGTAATGTGTGTATAATGAAATTACTTATTACTGTAAAGAAAAGGAATGTGTGATGACAGATACTCGTTCGCCAAAACTCAAAAGAATTATTTTGATGGGAAAGAAAAGACAGTTCTGAACAGAAATGATTTAAAGAAATAATGGGATGTTCCTCAATTGCAAGTTAAAATGGGGGTTGACTTTTTACTACAATTGTTGATTTGGAGTAAATCAGTCCTATCATCAGCAAACCTGATTCCATAATAAAAGTTGATGAATTTTAGAAGTTGAAGATTGCTTCAAAGTCATGATGTAATGGTCTAGAACAAATAAAAATGGAAGGCATTATATTCATTCTGATCCTTTATCATAACTCTTTGTGGTATACATTTTTTTCCATACCTATGTAAATACAACCCCCTCGTACATAATAATTCAGACAGCTTGTGCAAAATATTTCACAAATTTTCCATTCAATTTTTTAGGCCTCTTAGTAGAAAATAATACAAGTGCATCTACATATTTGTGAAATCAGGATGTCCCATGATTTATGAGTGGAAAAATTTTAAGGGAAATTAGTGCTCAAAATAAAAATGGTGTTTTCCAGTTCTCTCAAATTTTGTGTGTGCAGAAACCTTCGTTGTTGGGTGTTCTGTGCTATGTATGCTGTGCTAGAATCTTGTTTCCCTTGTAGAGATGCTATGTGTGTGTGATGCTCCTTCCCACGATATCTCTCGTACAGAGATGATAATTGTGCGATGAATGTTCCTCAGAATGAACCGAATGACGGGTGCTTTGTAAGTAAAAAAAAAAAATAATAAAATAATTACCTTGAACTGAAAAGACGATAAAAAATTTATTTTGAAGTGTTCAACTTGTATTAAATGATGGGACATTCTGTATTCTGCAGATTGTCCAAATAACATAGTGGCATTTTGTGTGTTGTAAATATATTTTGAAAAGTATCAGAATGTGTGACATATAGATCCTATATTATAATTATATATAAATATAAATAAAAGCTTTTTTCCAATCCTCTTAAGAAAAAAAAAGGATGAACATGTTATTTGCACATTGTAACAAGTATGGAAAATGCTCTTTGCACACCTTTTTAGTACACAAACGTACTGTTATATGGTGAAAAATTTTGGCATGGTTGGTGCTGCTGTTGCAAGAGTAGTGAATTATATATATACATATGGATATAAATAAAGATAATTACATAGATCTTTTGGTGTGCATAATATTTAAAAAAAAAAAGCTTGCTACATGAGAAGAAAAATATATTTAAAAAACATTTTTTTGTAATTTTTTTTAAGCACTGATGTACTTCTGTTGTGGACATGCCTAGCAATCTACACCCACAAACAAAGTTGTGAATAGAATAATTATTGTAAAATGACTAACATACAGATAGTTAAAGTGAAAATATTTACTTTCTTGTTCACTACCTTCTATAGTTTCCTTTCGGGGAGTGCTGTACATTTAGACTGAATAACCATATCAGGCTTGTCCAGAATCCGTTCTTCATTTAATTGAATGGGGGGCAGGATTGCTGGATATGTCCACAACATTTCCATCCTTGTGTTTTTTCTTAGGCTGCCATAGATCTAGTATCATCTGGAGAACAATAGTGTAGCACAGCTCATCAAATTAGGACCTCAGGAATAATTCCATGAACAGCAGTCAATATCGGCAACACTTTTTATAGCTGTAGGTTTTCACATATCAGGTCTCAATTTAAAAAGGAAAAGAACATCTATATATAATGTTAGTATGTGGCTAATGATGAAAATAGTGCTTTTTCTTTAGCACTTGTCTCCTGGAAAACCTATTTGAAGGGGGGACCATTGTCGGACATGTGTGTAATTCTAACAATGTATAAACGGTTATCAGTTACAAGAAAAATTAAAGAATTGCATATATAAACTTTTCAGTGATGCTTCTTGTATTGTACAGTATATTAAGCAAAGTGTGAGGAATGTATAAATCATTTCTCCTTTTTTTATGTAAATATGTTATGAAAATTGCAGTGGAAGAGAGGACTTGTCAGTGTTTCTGTGGTCCTGATATGGTTTCTTGTCCTTAAGATTAAGATACCAGACATTGAACAGTGATGTGCCCAACAATAGAATTTTCCTGTCTTAGTGCGTATGAGATAATTGGTTGAGAATATGACCAGTCATGTGTTTGACTCTAAAGATCATTCATCACCATGTACGTTATCTTGTTTGGGAAGAACCCATTTCTGTGTGTAATATTATAATTATAATATATTCATCAATTTTTGAAAGTTTGCAGGCCTGAGGAAGTGCTATGATATATATATATAGGTATATATTAATATACTATTGTCATTGTTAAAAACTTGAAATAATACACAGGAAATCCATATTGTGTATTGATTAATAAACAGATATTTGTGAATTTTGTGGGTTTTTCTGAAAAATACTGTTCTGTTGGAAAACAAATTAACTATTTGCCAAGACAGGTAGTTTCAGGATTCATGTAGTAGTAGTAGTTGCAAGTTGCAGATTTGATTCCAACTGTCAATTTTTCAAATGATAAAGAACCCAATTACATTTTCACCGAAGGGAAAGTATTTGCAGTTGGGTATTGAAATTATAGGACAGTGCTTTCCAAGGAGAATTTAAAAGAATGTGGATTAACAGACAAATACTTATCTAAAATGGAGATATGCATAAAATGATTCCTAAGTGAGCTCTTCCATTCACTTGCTTTGTATTCTAGGATGTGAATAATTGGTCCCCAAAAAAATAGTAATTAGAAAGCCTATGAATATGCAACACAAATTCACCAACATGTTGAGGCAGTTTTCATGTAGGAAAGAAGGTTTATCTTGGATAATTTATTTTCAAATTCAAAAAATCTAAAATTGCAACAATGTTTATGAGAATGTAAATATACGGTCATTTTCATGACATAACTACAAAAATACCCAAGGTTTAGTGATCACTACTACAAAGTTTTTTTCTTGTATCCATTGAGAATTTCTTCCTGCAATAGATTCTTTCTTCACACTGTTCAGCAAAGTGGAACTATCTATTAATTCAGCATTTCAGGATTTTTGTTGTAATAAAGTAATTTCATATTTTAAAATCTAATTTTAAAATTTTGTTGCGTAAATTTTACTGGTTTAATACAAGTAAAAGAATTAGTTTAGTACAGAGTTTCTTGATGTTTCAGTTTTTTTTTTTTTGTAGATGATTCAGAGATCACCCAAAGAACAATTCACACTTACTGGAAACCTTGAAAATGCAGAAAAATCAGAGAATTTGTGGACGATTTGTTAGAAGTTGTGGGAAATTTTGAGGTGGTTATAAAATTAGACATTATTCTTTTCAAAAAGTAGTTCAACATAATATTTTTGCTCAATTTCTATTTGTTGAGCTTTTTAAAATTTGAACATGACCAAAATTAAATCAGAGCTGAAAAATTAATTTTTGGTTTACTTTAATTTTGTCTTTAAGTGCTGTGAAGTTCTCTACAAGTTTTATCAATAAAAAAATTAAATAATGCCCTGGAGAAATGGGGTAAAATAAGGGAAATTTGTTTCAGAAAACGAGAAGTCACCCTGATTCACAATTCCACATTTTTGTTTGTCTTGTATGTCAGTTAGAAATTATGCTTGAGAAAAGAATCAAAACCGTATTTGAATAAAAGATATGATTAATGTTTTGTCAAACTGCATAATTTCAAAGTAATATTAATAGAGTTGTATCAGTTAGGTACTTATGACAAATGTAGTGTTTCATTATCATTTCATAATTTATGGCATCAATTCAAATATTTCATTTACCAGCTTTGTGTAGAAGTGCATCAACTTCAGTTACTAAAATATCACAGTTTTTATTGTTCTACTGTAAGTGATCACCTAATATAACAGGAAGTTCTTTTGCAGGGAAAAAATTAAAATTTTTGTTTTATGTCTTACCTACATATAGATTTTATTCATTTTTTTTAACAACTGATAAATTTTAAAATCTTTTATAGTTAATTTTATATATTTATTCATCCATTATATTGATAAATAACGATACCTACAAAATTATGTAATTTGTTTGAACAACGTACTAGAATCAATAATTTCACGATTTGTATTTGTACTAAATGAGTTAAGTGACAAAGAAGAGAAACAATGACACAATGTTGCAGGGTTCTGTGAAAATTGATTCCATTACTCTGGTACTCAAAGAGCATTTTCATTATCCAAACCTGGCTCTGTTACTTAAAGTTTTATTTTATTATTTTAAAATTTTTTACTTAAAGTTTTATTTTATTTCATTCTCAGAAGGTGGTTAATATGTTAAACACATGATGTTCATTTCATTCATCACATAATTAATTGAGAAAATCCCTTTTTTTTATATATTAAAAAATGTTTTGTATGTACCTTGTTTTGAGAACTGAGTGAAGATTTCTATTATCTTGTTGCACACGTAACATGGGAATTAAAAATTATTTTTTCTGTATTTCTATTTTTGAAAAATGGGTACTTCTCTCATGTGAAGCATGTTTAATGTGATGATGTAAGGAGAACTTTATTTCTTAAAATACATATGTTCACACACACACATCATTCCAGAGTTACCCTATCAGACACATTTTAGATTTTTAATTATTTTAAAGCTAGAGAACACCTATTATTTGACAGTTAAAATTTCAAGAGGATATTCAACAGGGAACTGTTTGAAATGTATGTGAAAATATCATGTTGTCATAATATTGCCAATAGAAATCATGAATTAGAAAGACAGCCAATCAATTTAAATTTTCTGTAATTTCAATTGAAAAATATTTATGAACAAAAATATCTGCAGGTATTCACATTTTCACCCAAACAGTATTAAACCACCAGGAATGTGTTAATAGAAATATTAATAAAAGATACAAGTGTTAAGAGGCTGTCCATTAATTACGTTATAGTCTTTGGATACTCCTCCCCTTGTAATGCATCAGTAACTCCGTTCCAGGAAATAATTACTTAATGCATCACACCCCATTTATAAAATGTAAAAAGAAGTTATATGGTGGTAAAAACAATTGTATTAATTTTATCTGGGTTATTTATTAACATTTACAATAATTAAAAAAGTTTAATATTTATATGTGTGTGCACAGGGAGGTTGTGGTCACCCTCAAAATTTTGAAAGGGACCCAGTAGTTCTATGTAAAAAAAACAAAACAACAATTTATTAGGTAAAAATCAATTTCTGATTTCCTCCCTTTGTAAGCTGACAATTTAGGGAATTGATACATGACATTTGAAGATGAGGTTCCTCAAACCATGTGGCTACCCAGAAAATTGGCCCAACATGAAACCAATTTTATTTATTGTAATATTTAATGTTACTTCACTCTCCTCGCATTATATTTTGTTCATTTACGAGTAAAACATTCCGTTTGTAAAGAAAAATAATAAATGGAAAGGGTCCAAAAATGTAGTTGCCCCCTATTTTCTTTTTAGGGTGGGTACGCCTGCCAATATTTGATAAATAGATTAGAAACATATACATTCCTTTCCTTATACTAAATATTTGTGATTTCTCTTTCGACAAATAACTTCACTTTCGGTTATGACTGAATTTAGTTTCATTTAATGCGAGTGAATAAAGAAAAGGGAAGAGATGGGAAATTAATTGTGGGGACGAAAGCCCTCCGTGCACGGCCTTTTAGGTGTAAACATGCAGTTAACAATTGGATTTTGAGAGGTCATAAAGATCCACTTTCTTGGTTTTTGTTGGTATCTTCTGAAAATACTGTCAGCGGAAGGATTAAAATGTTTTCTTTTATCCTTGAAACATAAAACCGAGAAAACATTTTAATAAAGATCCGGAAGAAGGAAGTTATGTATTGCTCCGGAGAGAAGAGGCGATTTTTCCGTAGGAAAATTCGTATCGTAGGCCCCGGATAAAGAAAAAGTGGATAATTCCTGTTCTCATATGTAGATAATTACTTCCTTTAACACGTTCAGTACCTAGAATTACACATTAGGTGTACCGAAAAATTGGTCTTCAGTAAAACCATGGATGAATATGTGTTAATCTATAGTCAGATTGAGAATGCTAGCATCTAAACCGTGTGCAGTATTTACACCAAAATTGATATTATCCCAATGATTCGCTGATGTCATGGCCCCTTGAATTTGAAATAATGTTTTTATTTGGGGGATGTGGTTCTTTATATGAATATCTCTCACGTAATTATTATTTACATTACCGGCGATTTGTACACACTACTGCATTTATGAGAAGTGCTTCAAATGATTTCTTATTAAGTTTCTCGAAAACTCAAAAGTTTTCTGTTAAAATTGAGCATTTTCAGAATTGCTTGAACGTCTTTTCCACAAAAATGGCTCTACAGTGTTTCTTTAAACATTTTTTGCTGATATTGCTGAATGACTTCCTAAAAAAGTCAACGCCATTTTGATTTTTTTAAATTACACGAAAACTAGCGTAAACTAAAAATATTAGTTTAAATACGTATACAATTACACGCGATTACAAAATAAATCTAAACTTAATTCATACGGCCGCGAAATTAAACCTATACGTAATTGACAGAATTAGTTGTAATACTCCTATGTAATGCATTCAACATTGCCTCAACCTCCCCTACTCCTTTTAGAGTTATGTATTTTATGGATGAACTCTTAGTTAAGGTCAATGAAATAACACACCGATTTTACCTAACTAGATTAACTGCTAAATACAAATTAAATAAATTCTAGTTTTTCCTTGGTTTGTATAGATATCATTGTATTGATCAGCCAAGAATGGTTTAAAAGTGTTTGCCTAGAATATTTTAATTAATAAAATAAGGTAGGAATGACCTGAGTTATTAAATATGAAAAATGTAACAATAAATATATAGTATAATATATACAATAATAAATATGAAATAAAATAATGTAAGAGTGACTTAAGTTATTAAATATTAAAGTTGTTATTATTTATTATTATTATTATAAAGTTATTATTATAAATTATTATAAAGTTATTAAATATTAATGTTGATAATGGATCAATAAACTATCCTTAATGTAAATAATATTAAAATTTGAGTTGTCATAGTGGTTGAAGGGCGCTGTAACATCCAGAACAATAAGTCTCTTAGTAATGAGTGATACTTTTTATAAACAATAGTCCTCCACGATTTTGGGAATTTCAATGCAATGTTTGAAAGCAGGCCTTCCTTTCTATTGGATTTTTGACAAATGACACCAGATAATGTGGCCAATCAAAATTTATTGCCTTATTGTGTCACATTTACAGGATTTCAATTTAACAAAGCAAGGGAAATATTACCTTTAATCTAAATTATGCAATCCATACTTTCTTCAGACCTTTCTGCCTTGTTGGAATGAGCGGACTAGCCTAATTGAGGTTTAAGGCAACAAACTAACGGAAATATGTTTGTTGTGAAATATTAGCCTTCCTTTCCAGTTGTAAATAAGGCTTATATTTAATATGAATTCGTTGAGTAGAAAGAGTATACTTGAAAAATAAGGCTAAATATTTTTCTGTGGAACCACGGTTGACTCAAGTCGTTGGCCGTGGTAAAACCCGTTTGTAAGAGTCAACGGGCTGTTCCGAGTATTAATGTACTCTTGACTACCTTCAAGAGTTTCCCGTCTATAGTAGACAATTAGTTGCAGAGTATTTTTTATACCATGGGTTTGAAGTGTGATCGACCTTTTTTCCTACACGACAAATCGGTTTTTTCTCAAGCATCCTCCACAAAGTGGTCAAGAGAAGGGATTCTTTTACGTGGAAATATTCATTCCGAAATTACCCATCTCGAAAATCGGTTGCAACTTGTCTGTATTTTTATCCACTTTGGTTAGGTAAAGTGAAACATTATGCTATTATAATCAGTTTCGTAATGTACTTTACCACCCGAGTGAGGTAATGTACTTCATTTTTTACCACTAGTGCGGTAAAGTAATGGCGTACTTTGCCCCTGTCCTTTTCAAAATATTTTGGACTGCTTTGCCTTGTATCCTAGACTTTTCCCCTTTAAAAACGCTGATAACTGAGAAAACTTACCGATACCAATGTTTTCTTGGCTGTCCGGTATATAATATCGGTCATGAAGTACCACGGTTTCAGTATCCCAGCGATGGATCCAGAGACAAATTTTGGGAGGGGAAATTCAAAATATTTTCGTCGAATATGTAATATTACAGATTTTATAACGTGGCGCATTCTACACTCGGCTCATGCGGCGATCCGATTTTGTTCGTTTTGATGGTAATCCGAAAATATTTTCTGGAAT